GGGCCGTGCCCTGGGGAGCCCTCCCCGCTGCCGGGGAGCACGGCACAGCGTCTTCCTGCCCCATTCAGCACCTTTGTCGGCCCCGCTTTGCTCCCCAGACGAGGGTGGGCTGCTTGCGCAGGTTAAGGAGCAGGAGAGGTGTGTGACCTGCTCCCAGACCTTTTAAGTGGCCACACAGCAAACAGAGAATCATAGAATCAGCTAGGTTGGAAAGACCTTTAAGATCATCATGTCCAAGCTTTACCCCAGCGCTGCCAAGTGCACCACTAAACCATGCCACTGAGGGCTTCATCTACATGTTTCTTGAACACTTCCATGAGTGGTGATTCCACCACATCAGATCAGACAGTTACAGGCAGAAGCAAAATCCCAATGCAGACAGATAGCATGGACAGCATCTATGCAAACTCTTAGTTATCCCGCAGTGCAATGCAGTGGTAGCCCTATATTCAGAACCGCTGTACTGACCACCAACGCTGGGATCAATAAATACTTAACTATGTGCTGTAGAAGGTGCTCAATCTGGGGATTTGGGAAACTTCCTCAAAACTCTACAGAACAGATAGTTACCTACTTAAAAAATGCAAATTCAACTTTACATCTAACAGAGTAACCACTTTAACCTGGGACTCCTTAACCTGGAACTCCTGTACCTCAGGGAATTCTTAGTGAAAAGATAGCAAGGCAAAACTTATCCTGTTTATTTCCTTATTAAACTTTATCCTCCTCTATTTCAGCACAGGCTACAGGTGAAGCAATACAATGACTACAGGCAACAATGAAGAGGGCCTAGTGCAATTTAACCACCTAACTGCTTGGTGCTCTTAGGACAGCCACATCTACACAGGAACTTTTCTGATGAAAAGGAGGATCAGGTGCTCTGATCTTCAGTGTAACACTAGCAGTTTGTTTGTTCCATATTGTAGTGCAGATAAACAAATATTTTTGACTGCATTCATTCCAAGATTATCTGCACTCCTGGATTCCTGAATTTAACAGGGACAGACAGCCTGGGTGCTATGGTGAAATCAGGAACAACAAAATTTTCAACAAGAAAATCATAGGGAGGGAAGTCACACATTTTATACAACACAGGCTGGGTTTGTTGGGGGACATGTTCATCTTGCTCACATGGCCTAAACAGGAAAAGAAAGAAAACGCACAGAAATACTCCTGTCCAGAGCTTGCTGGAAGCCTCCTCCCAGTTAAGTCATGGTTTTTTAGATCAATCATTAAGCGCAGAGAAAAATGGAAACTACAGCATTTTATTGCTTTGTCTCTTCCAAAACTGCATTTGCAAGTAAGCTTTTATAAGCTAAACTGTGCTTTTATTTACACCTCTGTCTCTTCAGTGTGCAGGTCTGTAAATAAGAACTCCCTCTTAAGTGTTTCTCTGGTCTCAGCATAGATCTATACTCAGCAATTTATGGTATACTATCAACGAGCAAGAGCAGGCCACCAAGGTGGCAGCGTAAGACTTCTACCACTGATGTTTATGTATTTAAAAACAAAACAAAAAAAGTTTACCAGTACTTACCAGTTGTGCATAGCTGCAGTTGGAAGGTCCTGGCTGTAGTGCCTGCACTGCTTTTTACTCTCTCCATCTTTCACCTAATCCACATCCTCCTTGTTCGTCACATACCCCTTGCTTCCAACACTGTTAGTTTTTGGAGGAACAACCCCCACCCCACCCAAAAACCCCAAAATGTCTCTGGTTATAAGGAATACATTTGGGGTGTTAGTCAAGGGACAGTTATCCTGTCTTCTGAATAAACACAGGATTAAATTTTCCTCATCTAATCCACATTGTTTCAGGACAATAAGTGTAAAAAATGAACAAACAATGTGTTACCTCATTTCCCCAGACAAATATAGATAACAATTTAAAGATCCATTTGCTTTAGACAGAAAGCCATGAAGAACTGTAAATCACATCCTTTGTATTTTGCATCCAATCATAATGTAACTAGCCCTTTCTGGATGCAGAACAGAATCATTAAAAAAAAAAACCAAAAAAAAAACAAACAAAAAAAACCCCATAAAGGAAAATGTGAATTCTAAAAACATAAATGTCAAACTTGGGAGGCAATAAGAGTTTACCATCATCATTCGTAGAGTCACTAACATCTTTCTTCCCAAACGTTGCAAGTGTTGGGGTACTTTATTCTGCCTCTATAGAATGCTTGCTAAAAATGTGGTCTTTGCTTTCCAAATACAAGTAATTCTTTTGGTAGCAGACAAGTGCATTTTAGCCCTTAATCCAGAAATACCAATCCTTTAAAATAAGTTTTCACTGTAAATCTAGACTACAGACTCCTCTTTATGCTGGTCTGGTTGAAAGATCTAGTCACTGCTGTAATACATGCAGTGTATTTATTACGAGTAATAAAAAGTAAACCCATTGAATGGTATTTCCACATCCCTCGTATTTTCTCATAAGTTAGACACATTTTATCTCATGTTAAAAAATGGAAAATACAATGCTTCTGTGTGGTGCTCTGTAGAGCCGCAAGGACACATTCAGTAAAGTTTTTAGCAGCTATCATATAGTAAACCAAGAGAAATCCCCTGAGACACTTGAATAGAACGTCTGTCAAATACTGCAGGAATTCTGGGTGGGGGCGACTTGCAGAATAGTTTCAAATATTGTAGAAATCCAGTTAACTTCTGCAACCTCACAGACAGTCCCTCTTTGTGACAATAAAATACATAGCACTTCTCAGAAACCAGCAGCCAGGGCACTGGAAAATTTCCAGGAAGAAAAAGACAATTTATTCTTGTGAACTACAAGGTTTGGTGTCACTACACTCTTGACATATAGCTGATGGTTCAGAAACGTAATGCTTTCTGGCGTGATCTGAACAACACTTCTGTACTGTCTCCCCCAATGAAGGCCCTGTTGCCTATGATCTGCCTCTCTCCTGAAGGGCCTGGAAACAGCTGGAAAAGCTTATGTCACAGCTGGAAGGGTTTATATCACAGACACCTGCATCTCACTGCAATACCTGTTTCTTGTTGCTTCTGTTCTCTTTGGTTATTAATGAATGGCAGAAGCAAGATGTTCACAAACATCTCTCCCCCTGCTTTGGAGAAAATATTAGATGAAGGAGTAAATTAGAGCAAATAAATTATTTACACCAGTTTTTAAGAAGCTTACATTTGTAAACTGTTGATAGGAAGCATAAAAGCTATACCTACAGTTTTCCTAACTACTCCAGTTTAAGAGCTCAAGGTGCAAAGAACAGCATGCCTTACTGCTTGCATTTATTAACTTAAAATAAACAAAGATAACATTTAGTCTGCATTTAATGATATCACACATGAGATTAGAACTATTCGGAATGTGTTGAATTATTTTGTTGAATTACCAGCTGGCTCTGCTCAAGGGAGATTTCCCCAGGAACATCCAAAGCTACTGCTCAGTGGTCTTCAGCAAGTGCTTTCTGGTGGATTTTGACTCCCCAGGAGGTGTTCAGTTGTTTGGGAACAACTGTATTTGAAACAACTGCTATGTTCTTCTGTGGAATTGGGCGATTTTCCTCCTAAGCCATGCCACTATTTGCTGTTGATAAATTACGGTAAGTGTTATTCCAATGATAAGGAGAAAAAGAGTACTAAATAGTGTTACTCCTATTCTTGCTCTTTGAAAAATCCCCCTGGCTGGAGGAGGTCCACTGTCAACACTACCTCCATATCCTTTCAATTTGCAATACGGAGGAGCCCAGCCATACCTGCAGTGACAGTTCTTATGATTGTTACACACTCCTCTGCCATGGCACCTTGTCACGTTACAGTTGTAGTTCAGCAGTGATACACTGGTACATGTCCTGTTGATACAAAGCATATCATGACCACATGACGTGCCATCTTCCACAGCTCCCACATCATCTGCTGGTATCCCTACATGGTAGTCAAGACCCCAACACTTTTTATGTCCAATAGGGGTTTGGACTAGCGTTACATGGTCCTGCAAGAAAGGCAATTTGTCTATGTTTTCACACTGGATCCTACCACATAAGATATTCTCAATACTGCATTTTGTAAAATGGACACTGTTACGAATACCACAGTTCCCAAAACGGTCACCTTGAGTATTCACTGCTTTGAAGCAATCTAAAGAAGCGGCTCTGGCCTTTTTGCCAAAGAGTTGCTGGCACTGTTTATGGTGGGTAGAACATTTTCCTCGATAGCAATAAGCCCCGTCTTTGCAAGGGGCTCCATCTTGTATGTACGAATCTTGTGGACACTGAGGGGAAGTCCCATTGCAATACTCTGGCAGGTCACAGACACCAGTACTTGCTCTGCAGACCTTTCCTGCTGGAAGGAAATGACATCTCTTGCAGCATTTTCCAGAAGCACAGACTGAGTTTGCAGTAAACGTACAATTCGGGTGACAACAAGGATCCTTTCTGCAGTTTGATGCTGAGCCACAGTCACATTGCTCTCTGCTTTCTACTACCTTATTCCCACAGTATTCACGCTTCGTGGTGTAGAAAGTGCCGGGTGCTGGTGGTCGATAAATGCACCTGGAACCATGCACAACGTTGTCAAAGAAGTCTTTGTAACTGCAGTCACTGAATGCATCCGTGTCAACATCAGTTTCATACATAATACATCTCTTTCGTCTGCACTTACAGCCCGGTTTATCATGGCGCATCCCAAGATTATGGCCCAGCTCATGGACAAATGTGATAACAAATGAGGACAACTTCCTATTAGTGAAGGAATCAACTGCTGCTGACCAGTGGTTATTACATATGGACCCTAGGTATGCCAATCCCAGGCTCTTTCCAAAGCCCTGAAATACAAATAAGTGAGAGACATCATGGTACATCCTTGGAAACAGGTCTGACCTTCGCCATTTGTTAAAGGCATCGAGTACGTTGCTGATAGAATTAGTAATGTTTATAAGGTTGCTTTTGGTCCAGATCTCTAATCCCACAAGAAACAGACGAATAGAAAGCTGTTCGTACAGAGAGTCCCCAATGTTGATGACTTCTAGGACCTGCCTCAAGACTTCAGATTCATTCCTGCCCGACTTCACAAACCGTGTGTTGTCCACGACCACTACTATCTTCACATATCTGACATGCGTCCACCAGCCCTTCAACACCTCTTCCTCCTCCTGCACTGCCTGGGGCTCCTTGAACCAGGGCAACAAAGCCTCTTGGTGCTGCAGCTCCTGCGGGGTCAACCCACAGGTGGGACCCACGGGGTTGCTGGCCTCCTCCATGCGGTAGAGGATGTGCCGGAAGGCCGGGTCATCGGGGATGGGCTCAATCTCGTAGGTGTCATCCTCTACCCAAAGCATGCCATGGAGGCCCCTGCCACAGTTGCTGAGGGCCACCACGGAGCCAGGGCTCCCCTGCACCTCTCCCTGGTAGAAGCAGTTGTCATGAACAAAGGGGTGCTCCTCCCAGCGGGTCCCATCCTTGCCATAGGTGACCAGCGTGAAGGGGTGGGAGACCAGCCCTCGCCTGGGGCGCAGGCGCAGCACCCACGGCCGCCCAGCCACCTCCAGCCAGTAAGAGACAGCCAGGGGGTCGGTGTCAGCCCGGGCACTCAACTGCCGTGGCACCGTCACCCACATGGAGGTGACACGCAGCCCCCCCGACAAGTCACCCGGGGCACGAGGGCACCCCACCAGGCCCAGCAGCACCAGCAGCCTCAGCAGTACCCCCATGGCTGGTGCCCAGCACTGCCCCACGCCCTGCTTTGTGAGGGTATGGAACCTAGAACCACACCAGGGGAACCACCCTGAGGCCTCCAACTGCCCCTCAGCAGGGAGGCGCAGCAGCATCAGAGCCCCTTTTGCCTTCTCCCTATGGAAGTACACCCCCAGGCAGCAGGGTGCCATCTAAGAGGGCTGTGAGGGCACCTTCAGACATCCATCCCCTCCTCTTTGAGCATGTACAGAGGTTCTTGTAGGGAGGAAGACCGGTGATCTTGGGCTCCGTGCTCAGACCCGTTAGTTGGTTAGCCTACCACAAGCACATTCACAACTTTTTCTAACCTTAATTTTCAGATTAATGGGTTTTTCTCCTTTCTGAGCAGATATAGCAAGCAGGGGCCCCAGCTCAGGTTCACACTCCTTGTCGAAGATGTTTATGTTGAGCAAAGGGATCATTTAATTAGACCACAGAGGGTAAAACCTGTTTTAATAGCTCAAAGGCTGGTTTTTGCTTTGCTCACTTTTTTTAAAGGGTAATTTGTGAATGGAGATGAGGAACAGACTATTTCAGCTCAAAAGTGTATTTGGAAAAGTTTAGGGTCTGAAATGGAAAAGTACAGAAATATTCGTCTCCTAGCTGGTTACTAGGACATAGCACTCTTTGCAACCCTATAGCTACTGCTGCTATACACATGCACACCAAGTAGAGAGGTAGAACCAGGGAGGAATTAACTTCCACTACGCTCAGTAACATAGAGGCAAACTAACAGGACAAAGGATGAAAGTCTAAAGCCTATCTGCACCACAGCAGCTGCATACCTACAACAATGTGCCTTAAGTGTAGACAGCACTGATGCAACAGCCATTTTCCCACATCATGGCCTTTCCAAAAGTTTGTGCTTGCAGAGCACCAGCAAGAGAGCTTACAGGTACATCTGCCACTTGGCTGCCATCCATGTTTTGGGGAACAGCTCCATCAAGACACAGCTATAAGACAGTGATCTGGACTATGGTAGACAGGATGTCCTGTGCAGCACAGCTATGCATGCTGTTTTTTAGGCATATAGTGCTGGGATTCAACATAGCCACAGCTGTTATCTTTTGGGAACTCTCCACGCCTTTCTTTTCAGCACTGAAACCATGTCTGGGATGAGTCCAACCTGCTATGACCCTTACCTTTCCCAGCTGCAGGAGGTGCACCCTCTCACCACCCCATCTCCATCTCAGGGATCCTGCCTTTTGGCACTAGTTTCCGAGTGCTGACCATCAGTCACCCTGGTACAGGCAGCAGCACTTAACATTGCAAACTGCCCAAGACAGGCACTACCCCTCAGAAGGCCAACCAGTAGAAGCAGCTGGCAGAGCACTCTGAGACCCCCTCTGCTGCCTCCTGCCCCAGGGCTGTGAGCGGGCTAGTACCTTAAGCTGGACACATGGCAGGCCTAACCAGCAGATGTGGAGGTTACCAACAGTTGCCCAAAGGGGTTTCAGATTCTATGAACTGGCACCATGCTCATTCATTGCAAGTGTGTCCAGCATGAGTCGTGAACACCTTGTAAAACAGTACCTCAGATCAAAGGAATGAAGACAGGAGTACACCTGCTTCTATTAGTACCTTTCTAGATATCCATAATTGTATATTTGAAACTTACCTAAAATTGAACAAATTCATGACCTGTGTAAGCCTTAGATTTGTTATTAGTTTTAAAACTACAGAAATAATTAGTTGTAGAACAATTGTCTGCTACCTTTCAAGTATCAGTTCTTCATTCCAGAGCTGTGAATTACATCAGATTATGTCTTTTGAAGCAACTATAACTATTACAGAAAAATCCTGTTACATAATCTTTGTGTGCAGTGTCTGGAGTGCTATTTTTAAATGCGTACTTCTGCTGTATGCTCGTTCCTTAAGTTATAGAAAAGGCCCTACTAAACCACTCTGCCAACTTGCTAGAGACATGTCTTATCCCTCCTCCCCCCCAGGTTGCCTGCTACTTACTTTCTCTTTTAATATGAACATAACTATATATATATAAAGTACTCTGGTTCTGTTGTTGAACTCATGTCAGGTTATTCTTGGAGGGGAAGTGTCAGCCTAAGTTTGTGACACTGCATTGAGCACTTCAGCAAGCCCTTCAGCATTGAAGTTACATAAAAAGAGATAGACTGTTGCGTTCAGGTTACCAGAGCCTTGCACTTTTGTACTCTGATTAGATAAAGATCAAAGGGGAGAGAGGGAAGGACTCCCGTTAGATGGCAACGGGGAAAAATGACTCACCTTACAGTGAAAAAAATATCACAGCAATCCATAGCTACTTCAACTGCAGAAACATTTGTTTGGCAGGGGTAACTGGCATTTGTGGTTTTCAATCTTGTAGCCCCCTAAAACTTTCAGTGAAGGTGCAAGCTCCTGTGGAATTGAAATCTACCAGCAAGAGATTTTACTTTTCTCACCTTCTGTTAAGTTCTCAGGAACTGGTCACAAACCCCCAGCAACGTGGTGGACTGCAGGCTGAAATCCACTGTCCTGACAGAAAGAAATGAAGCCTTCCTATTGCTCAGAGATCAGTTATACATCATAATTCATGCCAGTGGGAAGATTTCTTCCATCACCCATCCATCTATGATCCACATTAGGCTACCAAAGAACACTTGTCACATAAGTGACTGTTTGTTTGTTCTGTGCATGATTACAGGGCCAAAGCAACACTTCACCAAAAATTCATTTTCCTCTCCAAGAAAACAAAATAACGCAAAACTGACTTGAATCTTGAATGCCTACTTACCATTTTACTTTGACATTGAAAAAATACCAAAAAAAGAAAGAAAGTGTATCACATTGGCTTTTGCTCAGAAGCCATCTGTTGGTTCAGTGAAGGCACGATCTATTTGCATAATACATCTTCACCATTTTTCTCACAGGGAACCTCCATGCCTCAAAATAAAGCTGGTGTCTCCCCCCTTGCCTATACCCTCTACACAACAGCCTATCCGAACAGCATCTAACTTTCTCTGCTAGGAAAAGGTTACAAAAGTATGAAGTATGTGGAAAGAGCAGCAAAGAGGAACAGGCAAGAAAAACACACAGGCTGGTCAGACCTTACTCAGTGAAAACTTGAAGACAGCTGTATTTCTGCTGCATATGAGACACCATTAGCTTTACACAGTGACTTGGGGTAGCCAGACTGCCCATTTTCCTACAGTCTGGCTGGACTTTTGCTTGCATGTGTATATATACACATGTATACAACCTGTTCATGTGTATACACATTTACATGCACTTTCAGGCTCTCAGGAAAAGATTTCTGTTAGAGTTCTAGGTAATTTTTAGCTCCTGCTACCCTGTGATTTAAGCCAAGAAAAGCCCTTTTGAAGTCTGAATGTTTATTACATAAGAGCAAAAAGTAGAGATAGCTCTCCTGCACAACCAAATCTCTCCTTTATGCAAAGCAAAGTGACACACAGGGCAAATTGCAGAACTGCTTGCTTATTTCCCTTTTATCCGTAAGATTTACAAATACTGAAGGTCCTTTGAAGGACTTTGTACTTCGGAACTCGAGCTCCAAACCAAGAGACAGTATATAAATACCAGAGAGAAAAGGCTTAGTTTCTCATACACTGAAAAACATCACTGACTAGAAGATAGCTGCTTAACAGCTTTTTGACAGTAAATTACTTGGAGTTTAATAGTTTCTGACTTGTCACTTCAGTAAGTTAATAGCAAAGCTCACTTAACTGATAAAATTATTTAGAGTATCTTGTTAGCAAGTAACAGAAGATATTTCAGTCCCTCATCCCCTAGTATGGCAAACCTTCAGCACCCAGGACACCTACTAAGACATTGACCATTGGTAACATCCCTTATGACTTTATCACTTTATCATTCTCTCATGAAAAGATCTTTCCCCAGAAGAGGCTTATCACATTCAAATGCATTGTTTCATGCATGTAAACCGTTTTCTATCCTCTCAATAGCTTACACGCTGGCACTTTAACTCAAATGGAATCAGACCAGAAGCCCATCCTTTTTGGTTTGTGTATGCCACATGCTTAAACAGCAAAATGTAGAGCTGTCAGTGATGTTTCTCTTCCACTGCCCTACCTCCGCAGGTCTAAAAGGCAGATGACCAATCAAGGTGATCAGATGCAGTATGAGCAGAGCAGATGCAGCAAGAAAGTGCTAGAAGTACAGAGGAAGAGACATAACATATATTTGAGTCACACTGAAAAAGAAGAAATATAAACAGCTTCACTTAATATGCAACAGCAAGACATTTTAGCCTGTTTTATGTCATGTCAAATCTCTCTCACAGAATACTAGCTTTTATAATAAAAGACCAGCTTAGCCATTAAGTGAAAGGAGTGCCCAAGAACATTTACAGACTGAGGGCAGTCTGACATCTAATTACATAGATTTGAGCCTCCAGTTACCAAATCTTTTATCTGTATTCCAAGCATACTAAAGGCACAGCAATTTATAGCAGGCAGCCTAAATCCTCAAGTTGAACTTTTTTCCCTCAAAATAGCACAGAACATATTCCAATTCCAAGCAAAGAAATGCTGCTAACACATATGGTGTATTTGTTACTAACAAAGTAAGCATTTAAGAAAGGCATTCCAGCAGCCAGGATTTTTATTTGCCAAGAATTCTTTTTTTAATTTATATAAAAGTTTTTTTCTTTTTACATAGGAAACCAAGACACAAGGGATGGAAGAGTCTGTAAAGATTTCAGGAGGCTGCAAAACATGTCCATGTAAAAACTATTCTCTGAAGCCAACGTTCAAAATCAGATGAAGACACTGAAAACACCTTCTTAGAGGCAGCTCACAACCCGACATTAACATTTGAGTGGCAGGGTTCTATAGAAAAAGATGTTACAGGGACTTCAGGCCCTGAATCATCAGTCTCAATGGAAGGGCTTAAATATAAAGAAAGGGGAGCAAGAATCTCCTGTTTTCCAGGTACTAATCCAGATGTGCAACAACTTCTCCCTTCACTGGAGTCTCATCCG